CAATATAAGGAAGAATTATCCAACTATCAGAGAATATCCCACCTTCTGCTGGAAGCCTTTCCTGGTGTGTCCTTCTTCATCCCCTAGGTTCTAGTGCCTTCCCCTCTGAGACTGCCTTCCATCCACTCCATATTTATCTTATGTACCAAGTTATTTACATCTGGTCTCCCCCATTAGAATGTGAGCTTCTTAAGGGCAGGGATTGTTCTTGTCTTTGTGTCCCCAGCGCTTAGAACAATGCCTGATACATGATAAGTGCTTAATAAATGCTTTTGTTTGTTTGTTTAAGTGTTCGCTGTGTGCTGAGCACTGGGAATACAAATACAAGCAGAAAGAAAAACAGCCCCTACCCTCAACCAGTTTACATTCTAATGGAGGAAGACAGCGAACAAAAAGGAGCTGAAAAGGAGGGGGAGGGGTGGTTTTGAGGTGCAGAGGAAGTCTGGAAGTGGGCGGCAATGATTTGTTGATCATTTTTCTAAGAAATTATAAAGAGAATTAATTCATTGAGTAAGAAATTGGACTAGATTGCTTCCAAGGTTCCTTCCAGTTCTATGGTCCTATGAATATACATAGCATCATATAGTTCAAATTCCATTTGTCATATTTTTTTAACATGGCAGTAATAAAGTCAGTTCATGTTGACTTGTTATTCATAGTTTGTTATTAAGAAAGACCACGACTTTTTAAATCAAGTGGAACATTTCTCTTAAGGAGTTTATAGTCTTAACACAGACTCTTCTAACCCCCACTCCAGCCCACCACCATCACCCTACCCTGACCTGCTATCAGTCATAGAGCTTTAAATCAATCATAGATGAACATTATACACAGAGTCTTGGTGCTGAAAGAGATCAGAGAACATCTAGTTGAGTTCAGAGCCTGTAAGCTAAGAGTGGTTTTTACCTTTTAAAACAAAGTATACAGCATAAATATTTTATAAAGTACAAATAAAGTATTTTGAAATGTAAAAAGTATTGTTAGAGAGCCAGATTGGCCCAGGGATGTAGTTTGCTGGCTTCTGATCTGGTCCAATCCTCTTTTTTTTTTCTTTTTTTCTTCTTTTTTTAGGCAATTGGGGTTAAGTGACTTGCCCAGGGTCACACAGCTAGTAAGTGTCAAGTGTTTGGTCTGAGGCCGGATTTGAACTCGGGTCCTCCTGACTTCAGGGCTGGTGCTCTATGCACTGCACCACCTAGCTGCCCCCCAATCCTCTTTTTCTAATGAAGAAGCTGAGGCCCAGTGAAATGAACATATTTGCCTAAGGTCACAGTTAGTGGCAAAAGAGATGAACTGACGGAAATCCAGGTCGCTTTATAGATCTGCTGGTCTTTTCATTACATGATGGTACTTCCTTTAAATTGTTCCTCTTGAGGAACATGTTAGGGACCCATGATCTATTGTGAAGATTCATTAAACTTTGTACCAGGTTATTCCACCTGATACTTTGAAGGCATTTATCAGTGAATGTGGTGGGAGTATATCTTAATGAAGCAGTTAAGAAGCTGGTGTCTATATTTGGAGGAGAAGGTTAGGGATTGGTTTGTTTCTTTCCTACTGCCCAGGAATATTAGACAGACTTGTTTTCCCTTCCATTATTACTTCATTTCTCCTGTGTTGATGCCTTTCTTCATTGAAGCTCCCTTTATTGAAGCTCAGCTGCTGCTCAGGTCCCTTTCTTTATTCTGGCCACTGTTAACAGGAAAAGAATTAACCTTGGCAAGGAAGTGCCATCTGGGATTTTTTTTTCATTTAACTCATAATTTTCTTATTTAGCTCCATCAGTACCCTTTGAAGACATTTAAGGTCCTAAAGGGACACTTGTTTCTTCTTATGTCTTAGAATGTTAGTACCATATCATCACGTGATTTCTACCAATTGTTCAAATACATTGACTTTTCCAGGTTTCTCTTGATTCTGGTGTTTTCATTTCAAAGTTCTCTGGTCATTTTATCAAAAATACTTGAAAGTCCTCTACTCAATTGAAGATAATTTTTTTTTCTGTAAGATTACACTCTCCATTGTGCAGGGTAAGTTATTCTTGTTTGTAAGCCTATGTCATTTGCCTTTGGAATATTATATTCCAAGATCTCCATTCATTTTTAGTAGAAGCTTACAATTCTTATGTGATCCTAATTATGGTCCTTTGGTGTTTGAAATGCTTCTTTCCCGATGCTTGCAGTTTTTTTTCCCTTTCATGTGAGAGCCTCTAGATTTTGACTGACTTTCCTGGGACTTTTCTTTTTAGAGTTCCTTTCACAAGGTGATTGGTGGAATTTTTCTGTCTTTACTTTTTCTTCATATCCTACTCTATCTGAAATATTTTATTTATGATTCTTGAAAGAAAAGGTTCTGGGGGCAGCTAGGTGGCGCAGTGGATAGAGCACTGGCCCTGAAGTCAGGAGGACCTGAGTTCAAATCAGTCTTGGACACTTGACACTTCCTAGCTGTGTGACCCTGGGCAAGTCACTTCCCCGATTGCCTCATCAAAAAAAAAGAATGAAAGAAATAAAGAAAGAAAGAAAAGGTTTTATCCCAGGGAGTCATTAGATTTGTTTGGTCTATTCTGGATATTAGGGAGCCCATTACTGGATTAGGTTTACCATTTTTTCTTTTAAGCTCTTTATTATCATTCCAATTCTTCCCTCATTTTTTATCTCTTGCTCCATTTCTTTTAGGTATTTGTGTAATCCTTGTAGAAGGGCAGCTAGGTGGCACAGTAGATAAGAGTGCTGGGCCTGAAGTCAGAAAGACTTATCTTCTCAAGTTCAAATCTGGCCTCAGACACTTACTAGCTGTGTGACCCTGGGCAAGTCACTTAACTCTGTTTGCCTCAGTTCTTCATCTGTAATAAAGTGAGCTGAAGAAGGAAAGGCAAACCACTCTAGTACCTTTGCCAAGAAAACCCCAAATGGAGTCACAAAGAGTGGGATACGACCCAAACAACTGAACGATGAAAATCCATTTTTCCTTTAGTCTCTGTTTTCAGTTATTATAATTACTCTTGTGGGGGATTTTTAAATTTGCACTAGGTTTTGATACTGTTGAGTGTTTTCTTTGATTTAATGATCTCTCTAACTTTAGTTCCTAAATTGAGGCTTTGTGCCCAAATCAGACTCCACCCCCTGCTGTATTTTAGGATAGGGTTCTTAAAGGCTCTCCCCTTTCTAGTCCATCTTTCACTTAGCTACCAAAGTGACCTTCCTAAAGTTTAGGTCTGATCATATCACATCCTACTCGATAAACTCCAATGACTCCCTTCGGGATAAAATATAAGATCCTCCATTTGACATTCAAAGCCCTTTACAATGTGGCCTTTTTCTTCCTTTGCAGTCTTACATTTTACTCTTCTACCTACTCTACAATTCAGCTGCACTGGCCTTTTAGCTGTTCCTGCCACACAAAAATCAATCTCCCAACTCCATGGCTTTTCACTGGCTTTACTCCATTCCTAGAATGCTCTCCTCACTTGTCCTTCCCATCTTCTCTGGTTTCCTTCAAAACTCACCCACCTTTGGCAAGGAGCCTTTCCTGGTCCCTTCTCAAACCTTGTGAGATTAGCTTTCATCTGTTCTATATCTTGCACATATTTAGTTGTTTGCACATTATCTGCACATTGAAGTGTGAACTTTCTTTGAGGGCAGTGACCTTGTTTTTATCTTTCCTTGTATCCCTAGCACTTAGCAGATTGTCTGGTAAATCGTAAGTGTTTAATAAATGTTTATTGACTGGCTAATTTCAGTTAATCTACTAAATTTATGAGATATTCCCTTGGCTATATTCTCTTTTTTTTCACATGATTTTTATACCTAGTAGACAATTGCTTATTGATTTGTAACCTTAATTGAATTGAAGAAGTTGGATAATAAAAGGAAGAGATGATTAAGTATCATTTACCTTTTCACTTGCTGTGGGTAGCATATTGCAGCTTGGATCCCTTGGGTTCATCTGTGTCATCGGCATCAAGTTACCCACATAAAAATAATTTATTATAGTTTTGGCAATAAAATATCTGCTGGGATGAAAACAAGGTGAGTGAATTACTTCAGTAAATAAGCAACATATGTACTTAGTTGGCGATTCATTGTCATTACGTCAGGATTATTAGAGCCGGAAGAGACATTACAACAAAATCATCTAAGACTATAGAACATAGAAGAAATTCAGAGGAATCTGAATTTTATAAATAAGAAAGTCCAAAGAGCTATGGGAAATGACTTTCCCATGGCTATTTAGCTGGTAATTAATGGTAAAACTAAAATCAGAAATTATGCCTCCTATATTATATCCCTTCACTGATTCCCCAGGTCAACTTTTGATTATCCATGTTCATGTTGAGGTGTAAAAATAGAGGTGGTTCAGTACAAAATAATTCAAAATTCAAAGGTAATTCAGTCCAAGTGGTCTTTTTAAGGTAGAAGATTTCAGGGAAGCTGTAAAAATTTATCCTACAGGTGGCCACAGAGAACCAGTTACTGTCAATCCCTGTTGAGTCCTGTCTTTGTTTTTGTTCTTTCATTTCATCCTAAGGATGTGACCTAGTCTGTAAGAAAACAAATTAATAATGAACCATAGAGATGCAAAAGGGTAGGTCTGTATGTCTGGCATCATCTAAGTTTAAGAAGAACTAACCTTACATATGAGATAAAGAAGCCAAAAACTAAGGCAAAAGACAAATTGCAGCAACAGTCTAATGAACATGAATCTTTGGACTTGAGAAAACGGTGTCAATTATTTAGGTAACCTTTGGTACATGAGAAGAATAATAATTAAGACTTTTAGTTTTGGAATAAGTTGTTTAAAACTCCATGTCTGGGAAATCCATTTTATTAAATAGATACAAAAGTTCTTTGATTAAAAGGAGTTACTTTATTTTTCGTAGTAACATGGTTTTAATACTCTTTAACAATAAAGGGCATTAACCTAAATTGTAACTGAATTTTCCAAGTAACAGTGTGACAGTGATTTTATCTTCTGTGTTTTCTTTTTGGTCATTTTAGAGGTGTATTTGATGCTTCCCTGAAAATGGCTGGGTTCTATGGATTGTATACGTGGTTGACTCACACTATATTTGGAATCAATATTGTCTTCATCCCATCAGGTAACCATCATACCATAAACTCAGTTGTATTCTTTTTAAAGATATTAAGAGCATTTTATAGAAAATTGACATTTTGGTTAGGGGCATGTGTTATTCCCCAGGTTTGAAGTATTGCGTTTTCTAATTCTGTCTCAGAAATCAAACTGTTATGGTGATTATCTAACAGCAAACATTTTAGTAGCCTTGTGATTACGTCCTACATAATGTTATTGTTATTGTTTTTATTGCTACTTTCTGGGGGCCAAGATTCGTTATTCCTCCACTGCTACTTGAGCTATCTATGCATCTTATCTGAGTTCCAGGTAATTCCTGGAACCATCTAGCATTCTTCTTATAATTGAACTCTTTTCGAGTTCATTCTATGTGTTACAAAGTTAGAGATGATCTGGCTCAGGCCTCTCATTTTTACAGATGAGGGTACTGAGACTTAAAAGGATGAAGTAACTTGTCAAAGGTCGCACAGCCTGATAGTGGAAGAACTGAGACCACAACCTTGTTCTTTTGATTTTCCAGTTGAGTTTCTGTCCATTATACTATATTACCCTCACCGGCTTTTCCTCAGTGTAGAATGGCTTCAATTCTCATAGATTTTTTTTCTTTTCTATAGACATTTGTCATCCTGAAGGGACCTTACCTAGAGCCGCCTTTCACTGATACCTTCTTTCCCCATTTATCCATGCTCTGCAGTATTTGTAATCTAATGACCCTAACCTTACCCTGTTTTAACCAAATAGCACATAGAACTAAGAACTCAACTACCTCATGAGTCAGTTCATTCTATTTCCAGACTGCCCTAATGGTTAGGAAATTCTTTTATTAAACCAGAATCTTCCTCTTCCTAACTTCCATTCATTAATTCTGATTGTTCCCTCAGAAGCCGCATGGTTCAAGGACGCTTTTCTTAAAAACAGTTTTCATGTCCCACTCCCAAGTGTTCTCTTTTGTGTGCTAAACATTCCCTTTTCCTGTGACATGGTTTCAAGTTTTCTCATTATCCTTCTCTGTCTGATCTTTGCCTTCTAATCCTGTAAGAGAAATCCTAACCAAGAAATCTTTTGTTTGGGGCTACCATTTGGATTCCATTTTATTATATAGACATGAGGGTTCTTTGTAATTAAAAGGGGTTATTAATTTTATTTTTCATAGTAATCTGATTTCAATACTCTTTAACTTGAGTTCAAATCTGGCTTCAGACCCTCAACACTTACTAGCTGTGTGACCCTGGGCAAGTCATTTAACCCCATTTTCTAAGGCCCCCCCAAAAAAATACTCTTTAACAATAAGAGCATTACCTTAAATTATAATCATATGCTGCCAAAAAAAGAAATGTTCTCACTCTGTGACAAATATTTAGAAATATTACCATGTCTAGAAATAATTTCCATTACTGAAATAGTAAAAATAGTAAAGATTATGTTCAGAAACACAGAAAGGTACCTGGAGCAGAAATCAAAGGTCACCCTAAGATTATAAACATGAAAAAATAGGTTTAAATCAGGGGGTTTTATATAATAGCTTTTTGACAGTCTGGTGAAGCCTATGTACTGCTTCTGAGGATAATATTTTTAAATGCATAAAATACATAGAACTATATTGAAGTAGTTAAATGGCTCTGTGGATAGAGTATTGGAAGACCTGAGTTCACATCCAGCCTCAGATACTTACTGGCTGTGTGACCCTGGACAAGTCCCTTAATCTCTGTTTGCCTAATTCACTGGAAAAGGAAATGACAAACCATTCCAGTATCTTTGCCAAGAGAACGCTATATGGGATCATGAAGAATTGGACACAACTGAACAACTGAAAAACAATATTGAAGTAGTCATCAGAATACTTTTTTACAAACAAGTTCATGACTTTAAGGTTTAGAAAGAGAAGACGCTTGTTTCTAGACATGTTGCACTTGAAGTATTGATAGGATATCTAGGTCCACTTAATCTGAAGGCAGCTAGAAATGTTGACGTGAGGCTCATAAAGAGAGGTCAGGGCTGGAGGGATAGATTTAATATGTGGAAGTAGAAGAGGACCGAAGACAGACCCTTGGGGAACATCCACATCTAGAGATCAGAAAGTGGACAAATACCCAAAAGAAAAGATTAGTGAAGTAGGAGAATCAGTCAACAAGCATTTATTAAGTACTCACTATGTCCTAAGTGTTAGGGATATAAAGATGAAAATAAAACATTCCTTGTACCAAGGAACTTAGATTCTATTAGGGAAAATGACCTGTATACATATAACTAAATATAAAGTAATTTGGGGGCGGGACGAGTGGGGCATGAGCAGCAAAGGGAACCCAGAAGAGCCTCGTGTATAGGGGAGGCACGTGAACGGAGCTTGAAGGACGCTAGGTATTTTAGGATATGAAAGGAAAGAGTGCTGTCCAGACGTGAAGGACAGGCTACAAATGCATGGGGACAGGATACAGCATGTCATGTGTCAAGGAGGCCAATTTGACCCAAATAGGGTGTGATGGGGAGAAATGTGCAATATTCTTAGAAAAGCCAGAGTCAAATTACAAAAGACTTACTTTTTTTAAAAAATAAGTTTTTATTGATACCTTTTTTGACATCACCATAGTTTCCTTCAGTACTCCTCCCTCTTGCCCTCCAGAGAGCCATCCCTTATTTCCAATAGTATTTTTCAAAAGACAAAAAGAAAAAGAGGGGGGGAAATCAGCATAACAGTAATACATTGAAAAAGTCTGAGAATAAATACAATGTACAACATTTGGGACCTCCCAGCTCTACAAAGGGGTGGGGTGGGAGTGTCTTCTCAAATCTCTTCTTTAGAGCCAGGCTTGTTATTTATAATTTTGCAACATTTATGAAAGGCTTTCAATGCTAAGCAGAAGAGGAGTTTGTATTTTATTCTAGAGATTGTAGAGGGCCATTGGAGCTTGTTTGAACATGGGAGTGACGTGGCCAAACCTAGGCTTTGGAAATATTACTTCGGGGCAGCGAGGTGGTGCAGTGAATAGAGCTCTGGCCTTGGGAGTCAGGAGGACCTGAGTTCAAATCCAACCTCAGGTACTTAACACTTACTAGCTGTGTGACCCTGGGCAAGTCACTTAACCCCAATCGCCTCACCAAAAAAGCCAAAAAAAAAAAAAAGGAAATGTCACTTCAGTTCAGGAGATTGTGTTATAGAGGGGAAAGATTTGAGGAAGAGATGCCAGTTAAGAGGTTGTGGCAGTGGCCTAAGCTACAGGTGATAAGGGCCTGATTTGACAAGTGAGTGGTGATGTGGCATGAAGGGAGAATTAGGAATCTAGAATGACTCCACAGTTGTGAAATTAGATAACTAGAAGGATGGTAGTGCTTTTGATATAAATAAAAAAGTTCAGAAGAGACATGGGTTGGGGAGAGGAGGGCAGATGAGTTTAGTTTGGGGCATATTAAATTTGAAATGCCTATAGGACATCAAGTTGGAAATGTCCAATGGTCAGCTGGTGAGGTGAAAGACTAGAGTTCAGGACAGAGGCTGAGATTGTATATATAGATTTGAGGGTCATCTGGGAGACAGAGCCTAGGGATTACACACACATAGGGAGTGGTGGAACAGCCAGATAGGTAGGAAGAGAGCAACATCTTGAAAACACAGGAAAGAGTATCAGGAGATGAATTGGGAGGAGAGGGTGGTCACTGGGGTCAGGTGCTTCGTGCAAAAAAGTCAAGAAAAATGAGGACTGACAAGAGACACCTAATGTCATTGGTCACTTTGGAAAAAGAAGTTTGAGGTGATGAGAGTCATTAAATCAGAATGATTTATAAGGAATTTAGAAAGGAAGTAAGAGGCAGTGAGTGAAGCTGGGTCTTTCTGGTGATTTGGCTCTGAAAAGGAGGAGAAATAATGATAACATGAGAAGACAGTAGCTTCAAGTAAGATTTTTATAAGGATGGGCTTTTCTGTGTAAGCAACAGTGAGGTTTACAGCAGACAAGGAGCGATTGAAGATGAGAGAGAATGAGAGGTGATGGTTGGGGAAAAGTGGCTACCAAGAGAGGAGCCAGTGTGGAGGAAACAGTATCAAGGAGACAGCAACTAGATTCATGGAACCAAATGTTTCAAAAACAAAGGTAGTATCTTCTGCTTGGGACTGTGGCAGGGTGAGTAGGAACGCTACGGGTTAAATGACATGTTTTTGTTTAGTTTTCAGGTGTCTGGTAGTCACTTCATCCTTTGTAGCCCAGGTCAACTTCTTGTCTAGTTCCAAGCCTTCTTCATTTCCTGAGTCACCTGTATAACCTCAGTCAAGTCACATAATGTCACTGAAGTTCCATTTCCTTCTCTGTAGAATGAGAAAGGTGGATTAGATGAGCTGTAAATTCCCTTCCACCTTTAAATCCTGTGAACTTTTAAGTTCCAGGTTGACTTAAAGTTTGCACTATAAAAAACCAGCACATTCCACCTTCCCAATCTTAGACTGGTACAGGCAATCTTCAGACTGGCCCTGGTTCTTTTCCCTTACATCTCCAGGTAAGGTAGCCTGTGGGGATCGCCTTCAAGAGGAGATGCCTGGAGCTTACCACATTCTGAATACATCTTCATCTTTGTCAGAAACAAGTTTTGGGTCACTTGTGAAAGAACAGTGCCAGATACCTTGTTGGCAGCTTCTGAGCCTGGGAAAGAAACTTGGTCATTAGCAGTTTGGCCAGGAAGGTGTTCCTGCCACTACTGAAAAATTTTTATTGGCATTTAATTATGATTCACACCTCTCCTGTTTGTTACAACTCCCACAAGTGCTTCTCTCATTGGGTTCTTTCAAAAGCCTTTTAAGATAGACGTGGCAGGGAATGTTGTCCCCATTTCATAGATGAAGAAACTCAGTCCTGGAGAAGTGATATGACTTGCATGAGGTGACAGTGAGTTAGTGGCAGGGCTGAGACGAAAATGTACTCCAAGTGTTCTTTCCACTTCACCAGGCTCTGTGTGTGGGAATTCTTCAGTAAACACTGTTCCTCCAGTTCACTGAAGCTTGACTTCAGTTAATCAGTTTAACCTTCACTTATTTTTTTAAATACATTAATCCAGTACACTACATTCCTTGAACATTCCAGTGAATTTGGGTTATTTTACTGTATGTGAATGTGGGGGGGGGCAGGTTCTGTTGCATAAAATTAACAGTTTTGTTTACTGTTTTTCTATAGTATGAAGTTTATTTTCTTTTGACTTTGTTAGCATTAGCAGCAATCCTTGGAGCAGTACCATTTCTGGGAACGTATTGGGCAGCAATACCTGCAGTCCTAGACCTGTGGCTTACTCAGGGAGAAGGATGTAAAGCCATCTTGCTTCTAGTTTTTCATCTCTTACCAACCTATTTTGTAGATACTGCAATCTACTCTGATATATCAGGGTAAGTATTTCACAAAACTAAAAGCAATATTAGTTGTAATTATATCAATGTCTTCACATCTTGATAAAAAATTCTTTTTACTCCTTTGTTTCTGTTGTCATTGTAAAATTTTAATAAAAACTGACTTCATAAAATAGGGCTATTTTTGTTATTGAAGAAACATATTTGGTGTGTAAATAGACTGCAGTGATACTGAGTTATGTGCAAGAATTGACATAAAAAATAACATTCAGGAAATGTATGATGAATCAACATGCATTTATTGGATGTCTGTTCTGTGCCAAGGACTGTATTAGACATTGAATTGAAAAGTAAAATGAGCCAGTCATGTGCCAAGAGTGAGAGATAACAGACAGATTGGGTGCTGCAGTTACTCATGAAATGTGAAGACCTCTTATTTGTTGGGGGAATGCAAAAAAGATTCTTTAAAGGAGGATACAGATATGAATTGGCCAGGTTGAAAAGATGGGGATGAGTTATAATCTGCACCATTGGAGTGAATTACCCACATCAGTGTGATCACAGATCCATTGAAGAATTAAAGTAAGAAAGTATATAATTGAGTGTCAGAATAAGTGAAAATTGTGGGCAGACTCATGTTTTAGTAATGTCTTCTATGGAGAAAGAAATATTACCAGGTGTTTTAGAACTTTTCCATTAAAAAAACTTTTTAAAATCAGATATCCACATCTTTACATAATTTTCCTTGTCCCATCTAATAATTTCAGCTCTTTTGTTGTTTAATTTTGGTCCTGACCTGTGAGGAAGTCCCAACACAGGAATTCCCTTGATGCAGATCAACAACTTAACTTGCAGTTTTAGAGTTGCCCAGGGCAGCAGAGGTTAAATGGCCTGCCCATGTCACAGAAGCAAGCCGCAGGCATTCCCTATTCCGTGGCTAGTCTTTTATTTGTTACATCACCCTACCTCTTGGTTTCAGCATAAATATTTAATTCTGACATGTAGCGATTCCGTTTCAGCCCATATTCTCCTATAACATTGTACCTTCTGGGGAGAAAGAACTGGATCTCTCTCTTTTAAAAATATTTTTTTTTCTGTTCTGAAGTGTTTGTAAATGTTAAAGTTTGGAGATTTTTTAAGGCAGAGAACTTTAAAAGTAGTCTGTCAGAAGCTTATGACAGTTTGTAAATTCTGCTAGAAACCTGCTACAGGAAAGAAAACATTTCCTATATTAATTGAACATTAATCAGAGAGGGAAGGTTGATTAGAACTGATGTGTAATGTTCAAAAAGGAGAAACATCTCTTTGATTATAAAAAGACTACCGCATTGTTTTGCTCTGATCTGGAGACTTACACAGCTTCTTGTCTATGTATGTGCACACACAATAGTAATCCTTCTTACATCCAAGGAACATGAAACAGAAAAACCACAGGAAGAATCCTTGCCCCCTAAAATAAAGAACAGAAAGAGATGATTATTTAAGAGTGCTCCAGATTGGTTAGGAAAGCTGAAAAGGCAAATCAGTGCCTTGACTCCATTAAGTTGGAAATAGACTAGTAAAGACTCTTGCTGCTAAATTGCTCCTGCTCAGAGCAGAATAGGTCACAGATTTGCAGCACACGAGACTTGGGGAATTGTGATACATTGAGAACAAGCAAAAGAAAGTTAGAGGTTTCTCAAAGTACAAAGAACTAGAATTGTAGCAATGATTGTTTAGCAGGTAAAATATACTGGGAAAGGATATTCCATTTTTACTCTGGCATTATATTTCCTCAAACCTTGCTCTTAATTTTGTATCATATTACTTATAATTAGAAAACAATAAATATTTATTCTGTTATTTTAATAAGATTTTTAAAGTAGGATGGCATTTGACTGGTATCATTGGGGAATGGGGCATTTCACATGTGTGAATTTTCTATATAATTGAAATATACTCTTTTGACCTCCTTATCTCAAAGCGCTTGAGCTTTGTAGTGGTCATTTACAGCTTTGAAGACTTTTTCCCACTTCAGTTTCATTACTTGATTGCAGTTGGTTCAAATTTCCAGAAGTCTAATCACCAAAGAAGTGAGAGATGGGGTTTTTTTGTTTGTTTTTTGGAGAGCCTGGGTCTGCAATTTCATGTTTATTTATTTATTCATATTTCAATTGTATAAGAAATTGCAAATGAGTAAACTCCCTCTAATAATGTATCTGCTCTTCAGCTTACAACTTTGAAGACTTGCCTGGATTGTGGGTCATTATTGTACTTTTTTCTTTAAAGTAACGTAATGGAATTGAGTTATACTGACCTGTTAACCCATGCAACTGTATTCTTCAGACACCACTGTTCCACTGATACCAATGATCCAAATCAGAGGAGTAACATCCTAGGAGTAAATAATCAGTTTCCCTAATACTGACCTTCCCATTCAAACTTACAAAGTTATAATAAAAATCACAGACTTCATGGGCATGAAACTTATGTGAATTAACCGGATTACAGTCAGCTGTCAAATGCTCACGTGAATCAGTTATGTCATTGACTTGGATATTCCCTCCAACAATGCACATCAGAACTCATCCTTGGTTGTCCCATCCTGTGCAACTCTTGCCCATGTCCTCCTATAAATTCACCATGAATTCCCCACCCCTCACTCCAATCTTATGAAGGCCTTCCTTACTTCTCAAATTTCAATTAACTGCATTAATTGAGGAAGGAGTGGAGAGATAGTGGTGCTGAGGTTTAAACATTTCCTATGCTTTTTTAATAATGGATTCATGATTTGAATTTACTCTTAAAATGTATGCTTTTTATTTCATTATTTTTGTAGAATAAGATCACATAGCTTGTTTTCAAATTGACATGAATTTTTTTGTTTTTTTTTAATGTTTTCTTAAAAGGTAAATTTATATTGAACAGCAGTACAGTCAGCTGAAGTTGCTTAGTAATTATTGACATTTAAATTAATTTCAGTGCATAAACTATAGTGATTTTTCAGGAATTCCCTGTATGACCTCCTTAGCATTCTTTCTCATTTACTTTTCCCCTTAGGGTTGTAGATAGTTTTTATTCTATTTTTTCTGGTTCATTTTTTTAGATTACTTTGTATAGATCTTAACAGATTTCCCTGCATACATCATACCTGTCAGTCTTAATTACATTATAGCAGTGGTTTTCAAAAATTTTCTTTGTTCAAAGCACAGTATTAATTCCGAAGGGGATTTTTTTCCCCTTTCTGTGTATCCCTAGTGATTAGTACACTGCTTGGCATACAGTAGGTGTTTAATATATATTTATTGACTGATTAACTGACCATAGGAATCACAGCACAATATAGAAGAGTCAAGACATTTAAGTATGTATGAGATTGTAAGTATAAGTTGTACACAATTCCGACACACTTAGCTAAAACTTAATGTACACCGTTTGAGAACCACTGCGTTATAATATCTACTGTGTAATGTACTACAATTTATTTAACCATTTGGACTTTTATGTTGCTTCCAGTTTTTGTCTTTACAAATAACATTGCTATGATAATCTTTTTATAGATAGCTCTTTTGTTTTTTTATTACACTTTCAGGGTATATTTCCAGCCATGGAACTATTGTGTCAAAGAATGTAATTTTTTTTAAATTTTGTTTTTATTTTTAGTTCCAAATTCTCTCCCTCTCTTTATCCCCTCCCCCACTCATTGAGAAGTCAAGAAATATGATACCCATTATATATGCAATTTCCGCATTGGCCATTTCCAAAAATATATATATGATTAATTTTGTAACTTGTGCTATGTACTGTCAGATTTCTCTCCAGAAAGATATTTAAAATGTGGAGTTAGACCAATAATAGATAAATGTACCTGTTCCTCTTCAACCTTGCCAGCATTGCATTTTGTTACTTTTAATCATGTTTGCTCATTTGATGAGTGATGTGATGCCTCAAAGTAGTTTTAATTCGCATCACTGTTTATTAGGAAAGTTGAGCTTTTTTTTTTTTAAGTGATTATCAGCATGGTCTGTTTCCTTTTTTAAAAAATTATTTTCATATGCTTTGGCCATTTATTTGACTAGAAATTGCCATTTTGACTTTTTTAACAGTTCCTTAGTTTTTAGGTGTCAAGTTTTTAAAAGCTGTATTTGCCCAACATATATATCTTTTCACCTATAATCTGTTTGTGTTGTTATTGCAGAGGAGGCCATCCTTACTTGACTGGTTTAGCAGTAGCTGGTGGAGCATACTACCTAGGCCTAGAGGGAGCAATCATTGGCCCTATACTTCTCTGCATACTCGTAGTTGCCTCTAATATCTACAGTGCCATGTTACTAAGTCCTACAAACCCCACGCCCACTCCAGGTCAAATACTGTGTCCTCAACAGGCACAACGGTAAGTTAAGGTAGAGAAACATCTCTAACCTGAGTGGTAATATTGAACTATAACTGATGTTTTTGCACTTTTCCATGCAGTTTGATTTAGTCAGTCAAACAGTAGATAAATACTACACTGTATTCAGAGCTGTAGAGGATGTGAAAAAAAAATATGTAGCCTAGCCCTGCCTTTGAGGAATTTATAGTCTTGTTCGTCTTGTTCATTTGAAGCCAAACAACAAATCTGTTGTGAGGCTGTTCAAAAATCCTCTTAAATTTATGTTCTATTTATGTATGCTTCATTAAATTATTGAGTGTAGAGATCCTCTGTGAGTTAGAGTTTTAGAGCTGGTTCTACATTAAGCTCATAGTTTATGGGCAAAAGGAAAAGAGAAATGAAGTTTCTTTAAAAAGAATGAGAGGAGAGGGAGGTATTCAGGTACAAAAAGCTTTTTTTTAAATTTACACCTGGCCCTTTTGTTGCTTTTGCCTCTTGATAATGATAATAAAATGAAATGTGGCTATTCCTTATTTAATAGAATAAAAAGTCACTGCCTTTTTTTCCTTGGTCAAAAAAAGTGAAATCCCAAAAGCACATCTAACATAATGTTATCTAAGCTTTAGGTTGAAATTAAAATAATTTTACAAAAGATTTTGACCAGCTTACCCATGTAACCTAACCAGAGTTAAAAATTCATTAATTCTGGGGCAGCTAGGTGGCACAGTGGATAGAGCACCAATCCTGAAGTCAGGAGGACCTGAGTCCATAATCCGGCCTCAGACCAACCACTTGACGCTTAACTAGCTGTGTGACCCTGGGCAAGTCACTTAACCCCAATTGCCTAAAAAAAAAAACAAAAATTCATTAATTCTGCTATCTAGTTAGGTCCTTGCTACTCAAGTATTAGGCACTACTCTTACACACATATTTTTTTGTATCTCTGATAAGTACTTTTAATTTGCATAAAAATAAGTGTTGGGGAGGGGGGTGCTGTTCTTAGGCTGAATATTCAGCTCCCTGTGATAAATTTGAAGCTAGGAGGTTTTTCAGATTGTTTTCACAGTTTGCTTCAATTTGATTTCAAATTTCTGTATTATAAAAAGGATGAAAGGTAGTACAGTATATTGGAAGGAATACTAACCGAAAAATAGTATTGAACTGGTTTTAGTCATGGTTCTACCAGGAATGATATTGAGGAAGATGCTTCCCTCCTCCAAATATATTTCCTCTTTAGGATTGGACTAAATGAACCCCTTCCAGCTTTGATATTCCACGTTTTATTCACCTGCCCTTAGCTATAATTAATATTTCCAAAAAGATTGTCAAATGGCCTAAAGTATTGTATATCTTGTATCAGTTTCTTCCTATTTTTTATGTATCTCTTAGACAGATGGAATACCTGTGAATTTCAAAATTACCTATGTTCAATATCGTTAGTATTTTCTTTTGCTACTACTTTTGGGGGGGGGGGCGAGCTAGGCAGTGGGGTTAAATGACTTGCCCAAGGTCACACAGCTAGTAAATGTTATGTGTCTTGAGGCCGGATTTGAACTCAGGTCCTCCTGAATCCGGGGCCTAGCTGCCCCAAAGACTCTTTTGCTCCTTTTTTTTTCTTTAATAGCAGCTGTAAGTTTGTTTTATATGTGTGAGTCTTTTCCCTCTTTCTTTTCTTTCTTTTCTTTTTTTTTTTTTTGGTGAGTTAATCGGGATTAAGTGACTTGCCCAAGGTCACACAGCTAATAAGTGTCAAGTGTTTGGTCTGAGGCCAGATTTGATCTCAGGTCCTCCTAACTTCACGGCTGGCGCTCTTTCCACTGCACCACCTAGCTACCTCTCTATCATTAGTATTTTCAAAGGGCATCAAAGATAAGAGTGCCTGAAAAGTGTTTTTATCTAGAAGTGCCATTAATAAGTAAGTGTTAATTTAAGCTACCTAAAGTTATGGTACCCAAAAAGCCTGATGGAGTTTATAAGTAGATTTGCCTTTAGTTGCAGAAATACAACTCTGTTTAAATAGGATTTTCCCCCCCTAAAACATGAATTATTTCCTAGGGGTTTTTTTTTCAGAATGTAAAAATATGTAAGGGTACAAAATTCACTCAGGAAAGGTTCTTAGGGCCATAAACACAAAATCTCTCAGCACTGTGGTCCTTGGGTCCTAGTATATTCACACTACCTGAAAATAGGCAAAGAGATGGAGCTATGCTGAGAATGCCTGGCAGGGCATTAGGGACTATTAGACAAGTAGCAGCAAGCGTGCTTTCTCCCGCACCAAGAATGTCTGCCAGGGCAGGCTCAGGCTTCCCTAAAGCCACAAGAAGCCATGTACATCATAAACAATTCCACCCCCACCCACCTAAAAGTTGCCATTTTAATAGTCTTTGGATATGTTCATTACAGGTATAAAAGTGCTATAAATTTTTAATTGATTCATAATCTGTCAGAGATGGAAGAGACATCCAACCCATCTGGTTTTTGTTTTGTTTTTTTTACAGGTGGGGAAACTGGGTCTTTACTGTCTGTTTTGGTTTAGGTAAATATAAGTATAGTACTATAAATAGGAGTTTCTTTCCCTGCTGTTAGATTTTCTCTTGAAAAATAAACAGTTGGGGCAGCTAGGTTGGTGCAGTGCATAGACCACCAGCCTGAAGTCAGGAGGACCCAAGTTCAAATATGACCTCAGACAGTTACTAGCTCTGTGACCCTGGGCAAACAACTTAACCCCAATTGCCTGAAAAAGAAAAAATAAACAATTTTCCTTGAAGTAAAGACATTTTTTTATGTTACTACTTTCAGAAGAATTTCTGAAGATCCAAAATCATCAGAGTGATGTCTGCACCACCTTCTTTAAGAAATTCTCCTGTTGAATTCAGAACAGCCATGGGCTTCTGTTCTTCCAGCTGTAATGATCAAGGAAGGCCCAGTGAAGAAGCATTTTGGGAAGAAAATGTGTCTACTGGCCTACATATGGAGCACTTCAATTTGCAAAAAAGAACAGATGCTGCTGGTGGATTTGTTTATTAACATGCAACTTTACAGCACAGAAACTTGTTGACTTATTTTTTAGAAAATGACCTTGAAAAGTTTTAAGTTATGCACTGGAGTCATAGCTGTTGCCTGCTCGAACAACCAATGTGGATGTTTTCCTTTGTGGTAATCGGTTTTGTTCAAATACCTTTGAAAAGAGCAAAATCATAGGTGTTTTTTCCTGAAGTGTCAAGGGAAATGAAGGATATGTGTGCTTACAGTAATTTTAAGAGCTCTAAAGTACCTGTTATTAAAAGTGCATATAACATAATTAATTTATTCTGCTGTAAGAAATTTGTTTTAAAATATTTCTATAATAACCACTTTTCCATGAAGAGTGCTTTCAAGAAACTTAAGAGCTTCACAGCATTCAACTGTGTGAGGAAGAAGGATGATAATCTTTCCATCTTCTTTCTCTTCCTCTTTACCATTGTTAAAAAAAAGAACAAACTGGTATGAAAACAGCTGACTTGGAATTTAGATTTTTGCTCCTAGGTGACCCAGAAAGACTTCCCCAAGGATGAAAATGTAGCCACATCCCTAATATTGAAATGAAGCACTTTTTTGGGCTGCTTTTGCTAGCCCTGCGATTATTTTTAAAAACAGGATGTACAATTATGCATTTTTCCCTATGTTTTAAATGGGGATCTCAAGTATAGTAATGGTTTGATTTCTAAATCCAGATTTTCTTCATATTTGAAATTCTGTTCACATTATTTATTTATTTTTAGTAATAATGCCTTAAGTTTATAAGATACATTTAACTTTTTAAAGCATTGTTATTACTGTTACTATTTTTCATCCACACAGATTGAGATAAGGTATAGCAGGTATTATTGTCCTTATTTTACAGATAAGAATATTAAACTCAGGCTTCGTTTTATGGCTGGAAGGGACCTCAATCATCAAATGTTAACCCCTTGTTTTTAAAAATGAGGAAACTGAGGTCCAGAATAGTTTAATGACATGCCCAGCCTCTCATATGTGGTAAAGCAATGGTGTTGGCATTGGAATCCAGGTCCTCTGACAAAAAAATCTGAAACACTTTCTGCTGCGACACACAGTGAATGCTTCAGAATATGTAATTTAATCAATATGGATACTTCCTGCAAATTTATAACACTTCCACATCTTAGTCTTTATTAAAAGAGTCTCACAAGTTATAGCCATAAAACTGATAATTGACGAGTAGCCAGCTTCCTGGTGATGGCGAGCCTCTCAGAATTTAGTTGAGCTTGTCTTTGGTTGGCTCAGACCTTCCAGAGCTTGTACTGCAGTTGCATAGCTTTTGAGAGGTGGGGTTACCTCCTTACCACAATGGAGGATAGGAAGAGGATTCAGAAAAGGGACATTTTTGTAATATTTTCAGTTGGTTTACCAAAGCCTACGGTGTTTTGTTTTTCCTGCTTCATGATTTACTCAGTTGGTATCAGCATTAAACCAGATTTCCATAGATGGCCATTCTGTAGTTTCTACCACAACACATTAGATCCGTTCGATTTAATTCTCCATCTCGATAATATTCAGTTATCGAGTGCAAAGTTACAAAAGGTGATCCTACTCTAGTACATCAGTCATGAGGGGTTTGCTTAGACTTCAGGTAAGCTATCAAAGAAATGACAGACAAAATAAAAATTGTTCAAAGAAATATTTCATTTGCTCTCTGGAAAGTTGCACAAAACTAGGCTATAGAAAATTTCTGTTACATTAAGGACTTGTCTTAGGTCCCCAACTGTAGAATAGCAGGCTGATCTTTCTGACTGCAGTCCCATTTTCTATTTATGCCTCTTCTGTTTACAGCCTATGTGACCTAAGGCAAGTAACATTACCTCTGTGGGCCTCCGTTTTTTCCTGTAAAGTGAAGTAATCTAATTAATTAGATGATTCCCTAGCTCTAGATTCAACAGTTCTTTGCTTTTCAGTTGGTACTATTCTCACCTTAATATGTTGTCCAAAATACATGTCTTCAATATTCTTATATCAAGGAAAAGAGAAGAACAGGCTTAAAACTATTGTGAATTTCCTCGTAAAATTTTTAAAAATAAAAATGATGGCATGTTTGGTACTGATAAATCAGAACTCACCAAGAAGCAGTTAAACATGCCTTTATGCTATTGCAGAAAAGAAATTGTTAAATTTTTTAAAATAGCCTGAAGTTACCAATGTGCTCTTTTTCTGAGGTCTATGAATTGGAGATTTATAGATGTTTACTTGGTACATGTAACATACTATGCCGAATGCAGCATTTGTATTTTTACTCTGTGTGTGTGTGTGTGTGTGTGTGTGTGTAGAGAGGGTGCATGTGTGTGTGTGTAGAGAGAGGGTGCATGTGTGTGTGTGTGTGTGTGTGTGTATGTGTATACACATACACATACACACACAAACACATCTCCACACTAATGATATGACATAAGAGTAAATTTAAGGGATCTGCCCGAGGTCTTTTCAGTGTCTATCCACCTTTCACCCTTCAGTCTTCCTTTCCTGAGCTCCAGCCTGAGTGCGTGGCCTGAGCTCTAGCTTTTAGCCTCTAGGCTAAGGAAGATACAAAGATGAATAAGGAAGTAACTGCCCTCAAGGAGTTTCTTAAAGTGGCCTTTGGTCAAGACAAAATTTTTAATTCTACGTAAATAAGGTTCAAATGCAGATATGTTGTTCAGTGAGTACAGATGATTCTATAATGGTAATTAACACACATGTACATCTATATAACTACTAGAAGGCATACAAAACATTCTTTATTACTACTCTTAAGAATTATTTAATTTCATAACAAGTTGTAAATTGACTAAGAAACACAGATGGCAATAGCTGTCCCACAACATTGGTTATATTAATTGAGCATTTATTAAGAAGCAGCCTGGAACAGTGAGTAAAAAGCAAGCTTCTAAGCCAGGAAGACCTGGGCTCGAGTTCCATCTTTGGCATCATGCCTGTAAGGACCTTGAGCAAATCACTTAACCTCAGTGTTCTTCACAACTTGATGAGACCATAAATTACAATGAACATATCAGCCTGACTTGGTAGAGGTAGTTTCCTTACCTGGGAGATCTCTATACCAGTGAGATCGCAGAACCAGTCCCTGTCCTTTTATTAAGTTCCTATCACATATCTGTAGGCCACTGTACTGAGTGTTGGGCTAGATTCAGAAATGAAAAAACACAGTTTCTACCCTGAAGGAGCTTAAAATATGGCTAGGGTAAAAGTGTGTACACAAGGAGGTGTAATGTAAGTTCTAACAAGATAAATAGATAGGAAAGTTCTACAAGATGAGATTGGGGAAGAAGATGATGTATAACCTTTGTGTTCACCCCCATATTAAGTAAATGTGACCCATCTTCTAATATTCAATTGCTATATTATACGTTATGTAACTAGAGTTACTATTTTCACAAGACCTTCATTTGCTTCTATTAAAAATCCCTAAATCATTTTATAGGAGAGTTGAATAGTTGTGAGGCATCATTAATCACAGATGGAGTTCCCATTCCAGTTCTTTCATTTGCTTTGCAAGCTTAGGCAAAATTACTTAAACTCTGAGCCTCAAATCCCTCATCTACAAATTAAGGATAGTCCTATCCTATCTTACAGGATTTTCATGAGGCTCAAATGAAAGACTGTTTGTAAAAGCACTTTATAAGTTGTAAAGCACTGTACAGATATATGGTAGTATTATTATTGTTTATTATTACTGCCATTATTATTGCTATGGTTTCACTCACATGGTCGTTGTTTCTTGACTATCCAGAAGTACCCAAAATATGTTACCAAGTACCTGTATCCACTATATTACCTTTAAAATAACTCCACATTTCTTACACCAAGCTTCAGAATTACCCACTTAACACTTATTAGCTGCGTAACCCTGGGCAAGTCACTTAACCCTGATTGCCTCACCAAAAAGCAAAAAAAACAAAACAAAACAGAATTACCCACCTGTAAGAAGCATGTTTAATGCTTAGTTCTTAATATTAGATTCTTTTTTTTTTGCTTTTGGTGAGGCAATTGGGGTTAAGTGACTTGTCCAGAGTCACACAGCTAAGTAGTGTTACGTGTCTGAGGTCACATTTGAACTCAGGGCCAGTGCTCTATCTACTATGCCATCTAGCTACCCCCTTAATATTGGATTCTAAGAAAGATGACTCAGATGGCCTTCCACCTCTGATTTTCTGGGCAGGTTACCTTCTGGAGCACCCAAAGTTCTGCCCGTATTCCACTCCTAAGCTTCTAATCCTTCCATGGTCCTGAGTTGCATTCCAATGGAAGTATCATCTGCCCAGTGCTTTCAAGTTTACGTGACAGCTAATGAGGAGTAACATCTTAATTTTTTTTTTAACGTGTCATTATATATTTAGGTTTAATGATGTTTTATCTTTTGAAGTCAATGATTTGAACATATATTTTATCTAAAACCACTAAGCATCTTCTTTGTTTAGTATACAAAGGTACCTCCCTGAATTCTCCTATAGTCAGACCACATTTGGAGTATTGTATTCAATTCAAGACATCGCATTCTAGCTGGAGAGTACCTAGGAGAGAGTAGTTAAGATGGTGAGGATGCTTAAAACCAAGCAACAAAAGATAACCAGGGATATTTACAATTTTTTTAAAAATCCTGAAGGGTTGCCATTTAGAGGAAAGATGAGATGGTCTTTTTGGCCTCAGAGAGGAGAATTAAGACTTTAGAATTAAGAATTAAGGAGGAATCTCTAAGGAGGCAACTTTTTAACCATTAGAACTGCCCAAACATGAAATGGGCTGCCTTACTTAATAGTAGGTTTCCTGTCACTGTAGGTTTTCATGAGAAAGCTGGATGGCATCCTCTTTGGAGCACATTGTCCATTATGACCTCTGAGGCCCCTTCCAACTATTAAGATACCTAGTTCCTAGCACATACTAAGCACTCAATAAATGTTTTCTTTATCTAAGTTATTTAAAATAATCAAAACTATTTTAAGCCAAAATACTTCATCTGCTTCCTAATGCCTTGTATCCATCTGAAGTAAGTCTTTATCGGGGTTTTTCAAGATACCTATAATGGAAATGTGAATTAGTGAATCCATTACTGTGATATTATGAAACCCTGTAATAAATTTCCTAGGTTTCACTGGTAACAGTAGTTTAAGTTCAGACTTTCATATTGGTTGTTAGATCCTTAAACTGTTATGAAGAACAATTCCTTTATTATGTTTACTGAACTGTGGAATTTTTCAGTAATAATAGTCCTAGCATTGTGGTAACTGATCATATCCTGTTTATACACATTAGTTATCTCATTTGTTCCTCATAACAAGTAAGGCAAGTAGCATCACCTCCATTTGATCTCTCCTCACAGAGTTTGTGACTTGCCTGAGTGCCAGAGCTAGGTCCAAAGCCTGCCTCTTTCTTTGGATTCCTTGTCCATTATTATTCCCCATTATACTCTGCTGCTACCTTGTCTAGCAGTGCACTTGTTAATCTGGGGACAGCTGACGTTCTGCCTCTCCCCCTACCACCACCCTGACATCTGCTTTTCCTTGCTGGGTTTTTTTTTCTTGAGTAAAATTATCACTGACTGTTTTGGTGAAATGTGATGTCTAAAACACCAAATCTGATGGAATTCTTTCTCATCATAAATTACTAAAGCTGAAGATTGCTTCTGACAATCAATCTCCGTTTTTAAAATTTTTGCATTTTCCTTTTGAAAATGCAACTCAAATATACAGGACAGCAATGTGAATTCTTAACAGTAATTTTAAAGTAGGAAACATATTCATTACTCCAGAGGGCATCTAATTATTCAGTTCACGCAAGTCTTCCATGTAAGTGATTTTGTGTCTCTGGTCTTCATCTGAATTATTTTCCAAGTTAGAGAGATGACAGATTTTTATTTTAGATGGTGTAGTAAGAAAATGTACTAAGTCTTATTTATTGCTATCTTCTGAGGGGGAAAAAATTAATAGATATTTGATTGCATGCCAGTGAAGCTCTCTCCACCAAATTGGAATAAGTTCTAAAAGTAAGGAAAAAAGAAAGTTTACAAACAATTTTTAACATGGAATTTTATTTTTAAAATTTGGTTAGCTCAGTGTACAGCTAAATAAAGCCCCCTTAAAATGTAGTCCGAACAGAAAACCTGAATCAGATTTAGACATAAGTTTCCACATTTGAAAAAAAAAATATTTA